TAGAAACTTCACAAACGATAAGATTTCTACAAAATTCTCAAACAAACGCAATGTTTCGCTAACACAGTGACATCATCAGGTGATATACGTCAGTCTGACAGGTCGTAGGTTTAATCAGCGCATTCATGAACTCAAGATGAATGTTTTGAGAAACAAAACAAATTCAATATACGCCAACCATATATAAGAAGGAAACCATAGGTTTAATTCAATCTGGTACACCGTATTTTAATGTAGATATTGTGCCTAATTTTCGAAAATGAAGGTTTATCGAACCTGACCACAGGCAACTAAACCTTCAGGTTGGGCAAGTAGGATAAATGGAAGGCAATTCAAGGTCACTTTAGTTCTTTGTACCAGTATATCACCTGATGGGGCTACATTGTTAGCGAAACATGCCGTATGTTTGAGATTTTTGTGAAAATCTTATGGTATGTGAAATTTTCACTGATTGTTGGAAGAAAGATGTCAAATAATGAAATAACTAATTAGTTCGTAGACATGAATTTAAGTTAGCCCTTCTGAATTCTATGACTTCACGAATGGATACACCTAATTCAAGAAGAATCACTATCTCGTAAAATCCTCAGTATAAGGATACAAAGAGAACTGAGAGGTTTATAAAGAGACTAGAGATTTGAAAGCGTTTATCAGTTAGGGTAAGAACTACGCAATGTATCAGGCACTCATATGTAATGATGTGATAAATGATGTGGACACACTTGAAGAATCATGAACGAAATAATTGATTGTGATGAATGTGGAGAAATAGAGGAAAGTCGCCTTTTTCCGGGCAGCTTTCGGAAGTATCAAACATTTTCGATTCGAAATCAAGCTATCTTCTTTTTGTTTGCTCGATAACACAAGTCAATATCTGATCAAAGATGATTTCACGAACGGAACATTCATCGTGAATAAAATTCAGGAATGAAATTCTGGAATATGAAAAAAAAGATCACACTCGTACACTTTCTACTATTCAAAAAACGGTTTCCTAACTTCGGATAAATTGGTTTCACAATTTCGGATATCTTCAAATACTACTATAAAAAATAGGAGGACGATTTAGAAGTGGATGCTGGAACCTTATATCTGGACATAGGTAGAAAATTGATGAAATAAACCTCAGATGGTGCGCTCACTCTTCATTTGTATCGTCAGACTGGTTCTTGACATAAACTATTGAATTTCAGACCATGACGTGGGGTTCACAAATCGAATGTTAGATGGCGTGATTCCTAGAACTTATGTTCTACCAACCTTGATGAGGCTGAATCGCTAAATGTATTCCCTTTCTTCATTGGTCACGATTCGGACATAATTTTCACATTGATGCCTGTAATTTTGGTACGGCAACATACTTAACTCATCAAGACTCATACACGCCATGTTATGTTAATCGAAGTAGGCGAAAAACAACGAATTGCAAAACAGGAGAGGATTGAAGTACGTACACCAGAGGTTTGTTTCATTAATGGTAAAAGAAAGTGGTACAGCAAAAATAAGCTCCTCATGAAAAATGTTTGTTGGGAAAATTAGTGGTCTAAACAAAACGAATCGCAAGTGTTGCGCATATCCGAAATTGAGAACTCCTAAAGTACTTATCCTAAATTAAAATTTTCTCTGGTTACTTTCATAATTTGTGTTTATATACATATCTTATTACAAAATGTGAATATCATAAAATATCTAGGTGGTTTTCATACGTATGGTGAATTTGGTAGCAACATTTTCACACCAAGAACTATAATGAAATATAGCACACACTGTGAATGACATACAGATGTAGGAGTTTTCATTCTTCGGCCATCTAGCAGAACTTTTTGAAAACAGAGTTAATAGTTCGGTGCGAAATTCGAATAGTTCTGGAGAAACGTCACTATCCAAAGTGTGGCTCCTATTCGAAAATAGGCGACCATCTTCTAAAGGCCAAACTCAGCGACCCATGAAACGAGGTTCAAAGAATATCTTGCACTCCTGGAATATGTTAAAACAAATTAATCGAGCCTAGCGGCACAAAAATATGTTCACTAACAATCTTAACAAACATATAAATGAACTGAAATTCGTCGATCAAGTTGATTATGTAGGGTAATTAGATGCATTTGAAAGCAGAAAAATAGTTCAGAATATCTATGAGTTATTGATAAGGTTATAATAGACATTTTCTGTATAGCAAGAGATTATAGGGAAGGAAATTCCTATAATGTTCATCTAAAATTGGATAGGAAGTTCTTGGGAATACCTACATTGATTGGCAAAGAATTCCAAAGCTTTGCCGTTTTATTGCCGAACGAATGTTGGTAGAGGGTTGTTCGACATATTTCAAGCTTGACAACGACAAGATGTGCTGACTGGGCTTGTCAAGTGCTTCATACTGGTATTGCAAGTGATGGAATGATATCAGAGATTTCTGAGGAATATTCCCCGTGGTGGTGTCTATAGAAAAGTGATAGGTCGCCAATTTTCCTATACGGTGTTTCATTGAGGTCAAAGAATTAGTGAGTGTGGCATCACCCCCAGGCCAATGTGATTCCTCTCTAGATGGAATATGAGAGCTTCAGCATATGTGTGGGCGCCGAACCATATATGTGAACACAGTATTCTGGAACTGGTGATTTATACAGTGCGTCCATAAAGTAACGCATAAATTCATTATTGGCTGAATGAACTATTAAATTAGAAATTCCCGAAACAGGTTGATTTTTCATTTCAATTCACTATTGTTTCAAATCATAATCTAATCTTCAGGGTGAACCACTTTCGTGTGATGACGTCATCCCCATTTTTTTTCAAATGGAACCCCCTTTTTTTTCAATTTCAAAATTGCCCTTGCTGAGCTGATTCCAGAAATGTATGATATATTGCTTCAAATTGGTACAGGGTGGGCAAAAATGCAAAAAAAAAAATATGAAAATTGTTAATGGAAAGTAATACGCTACTGAATGTAATAAACAAATTGAATGGAATTATGTAGTTATGCAAATAATGTGATACACTTACAAAAATAAACAAACAAATGAAAATTCACAATAAATGTTCAAATTGTTCTCCAAGAATAATGCTGGATGTTCTTGATAGTTTATCAGAGTAGTTGTATAACAATACGTAATTTTAGTTAATGTGTTTATTACGTTTATTCATTATTTTTATTACTTTGTAAGTAAATTTTTGCGTTTTTGCCCACCCTGTACCAATTTGAAGCAACATATTATACATTTTTGGAATCAGCTCAGCAAAGGCGATTTGGAAATTGAAAAAAAAAAGGAGGGGTTCCTTTTGAAAAAAATGGTGATGACGTCATTACACGAAAGTGGTTCACCCTGTATATTAGATTATTATTTGAAACAATAGTAAATTGAAATCAAAAATCGACCAGTTTCGGGAATTTTTAATTTTATCGTTCATTTAACCAATAATGAATTTATGCGTTACTTTATGGACGCTCGTATACTTTGTTGAAATTGAGAAGTTGTTGAGATGTTGGGTAGATCTTCACACAGAATTTAAATCCAAGTTTTTGTGAAGCAACTTTCGCGATGGATCGGACATGATTTTTCCATGAAAGAGAATTGCTGATGAGGATATCGTGCATAGATAAGTCGAACTTGGTGAGGTTGATGGTACCAGACATTATTATATCAAGCATTCGAGTTCTGCTCCTCTAGAGAAAACACAGACTCGAGATTTGGTGGTGTTGAATGCAACTAGGTTGTTGGTTTCCCAACTTCGTCGAAAATTCTCAGTTTCCTGAGATGAAATGAGAATTCTAGGGGAGATCGCAGTCTGGAGAGTACTATCATCTGCAAAGCTGTGAATAGGGCAAGTGGTTGCTCCCAACAGGTCATTGATATTGAGTAGAAACAATGTTGGTGCCAAAATTGATCCTTGTGGAACGCCAAAATTGATAGCAATGGTGACAGATAATACTCCGTCCACCGTCCACCACATGGAGCGATCTGCCTGAAAGATGACTCGATGAAAAATAGCATAACTGAGGTGGTCAGCCGTATGATGGTAGTTTGTGAAGAAGTCCTTGGTGCCAAACGCGGTCGAATGCCTTCTGTATATCCAAAGCTACAGCTAGAGTTTCCCTATGATTTTCCAATGAAGCTTGTCATTTATGGTGACGTAGGCAAATGAATCTCCAGTTTATCTCCGGTGGTCAAAGCCATATTGATGTCATTCATTGATGATTCTTGAGCTCTCCAGATATTCGATGAGCTAGATGTTGATTGCTTTCTCCATCACTCTCGAATCATCTGATAACCCTCTCCTGGGACTGGTTGGAGTCTACCTATTTTTCAGCGAGTTGACAAAATGCTCGACTTCCACTAGATGATTAATGGAATAAAATTTTGTTTCTCTAGTAATAGCAACGATAATAGAGTGAATTCAAAAAGAGAATGTTGAAAATGTTGTGGCTGAACTATTATTCCAATTATAACTTGATAATGTAACTGTCAATTTCTACAGTGTATTACAAATCACATAGGAAAAGAACACACTATCATTGTTACACCCAGTTTTTCGAAATGAAAGATTATTATGCGAATACATCAGTTTGCACTCCAATATTAAGAATGAAATAACCTGTCAATCTGAACAAAAAAACGTCCGAATCAGACGAATAATTTCGATGAAAATGTATCCCGAACTTTTGGATACTTTTGGTGCTGCATTTATTTGTGAAAGAGTATGAAATTCTGGAAGTTTCATGATATTCTCGAACATTTCAAAAAATTCCTGGAATATTTTTGAATATCATAATCTGATGATGATGTGGTAAGATGTCCTCATCTTCTGATGCATGCTCACATCAACACACAACCTCTACAGAAACAAACTAAATGATGTCAACTAAAATAGTTGACATCGGGCTACAGAAATAGATTGCTAAGTAAATCGGCCGACAGAAACAAACAACAATCTCATTTTGTAATTGGTCCTAACTGTCAAGACAATATCTTGCTTTGTTCTCAAAATCCAATTTGTTTCAGACTGTTGGCCGGCAGGGTGAAACGGAAAACCGTGGCGGCCAATTCCGTGGCCACCGAACAAAAGGCCTCCAAGGTCCTTGGCATCGTCTTCTTCACCTTCGTCCTCTGCTGGTCGCCCTTCTTCGTCCTCAACATCCTCTTCGCCGTCTGCCCTGACTGCGAGGTGCCCAACGACGTGGTGCTGGTGTGCCTCTGGCTAGGCTACGTCAGTTCCACTATCAACCCGATCATCTACACGGTGTTCAACAAGAGCTTCAGGGGGGCCTTCATCCGGTTGCTGCTGTGCAGGTGCAAGAGGTATCATTATTTCTTGTTCATAATATTGAGGAAATGTCATTAGAACACTTTCGATAAGTTGTTAGAGATGAGTATTCGTCGGTAGAGTTGTCATTTCAACGTTCCACAGATAGTGTAAGCTTCCGCTTCAATCGTATCATCCGTATCTAGCTGTACTGTGAGCGATAAACCACCAGACAGAGATATACTCACGGTGGAAGGCACATCAGACGTTTCTGGAGAACGTGACTTGAGATTATTCCGGAAATTTGATGCCTTGGATAATTAGTTGTCCTCTTTCTACCAAAAATATTCTCAGCGCTGCGACGTTGCCGCTTATATTGAGAAGTAGCAACAACTCGGATCTTCTTCTTCTTCTTCGAAGCACTGGTGGGCGGATGAACCCCCTGCACGTGGGCCCCCTTATTCGGGCCCATTGTGCGCCCACATGTTACGACATTCAGCTGAGTATGCCGACTGCCTTGAAGAAGTTCATCAGCTTCCTCAGCTGAATCTCTTTTACGTCCTCTGGCCTCAAAATTATGTTGCCAAGGACAGTCATCCTCTGATGCGTCAGTGCTGAACACTCAGTGAGGACATGTGATGACGTTTCGTCATCTACCAGGCACCATCTGCAAAGGGGGTCATCCATGATCTCAATAAGCTCTAGGTGCCTATTGAGGTGGTTGTGCCCCGTTAGGAGCCCCACTACCATTTTGAGATTTCGCCTGTTTAGGAATAAAACCTCTTTTGCGAGCCTCTTCGAAGGTTCGTTCATGTGGAGCTTCGATTGTCTCATTCCTGGTGTGTCCTGCCATATTTTGAGGAATTGCTTTTGCAGCTGTTCCTCTATAGAGAACATTGCCAGGCTATTTGGTATTCCCAAGATTGGTTCCGGTCCGACCGAGGTCCGTCCTGAACCAATATTTGCCAGTCTGTGTGCCTCCTCGTTTCCGGGTATTCCCGAATGTCCCGAGACCCACATGAGGCTGACTTTTCTTGATTTTGGTTTTTCAAGGCTTTTTTGCACTCGAACACCAAATTGGATGTGATCCTATTGGATTGCAAAGCCAGTATTGCAGCTTCGCTGTCCGAGCATATAGTGATTGGATTTATTAAATGGAACACCTTGTTTTTTCAAATTTTCCCTGAAGAGTTGATTTCATTGACCCGTAACACTTGGGGTGTAGCAGTGACAATTACAGAGATATAGGATGTGAATAGATATAGGGTGGTTCAGAATTAAAATTTTCAACCACCATGCATCTATTTCAATCAAATATCAATAGATAGTACATCGACATTTGCGATAGAAACATAAAAACAGTTTTGACTAAGTATGAATAGATTCAACACAAGAAATTCTTGAACGAGAATAATGTCGGTTTTTCACACCCAATATTCTTTGTTATCATTTCCGCTAGACCCCAAGTGTAATAAATCGATGAAATCAGCTCTTTGGGAAGAATCTGAAAATGGAATGATATATAGGGTGTCTTATCCAAAAAATCAAAGATGTTGCTACTCTTTAATATAAGCGGAACGTCGCAGTGTTGATAATATTTTAGGTGGATAGAACACAACTAATTATCCAAATAATCGAATTTTCAGTATAATCCTTTGTTGGGTTCCCCAGAAACGTCTAAAATGTGCCATCCAGCGTGAATCAGCCTGTATACTGTGACCAGAAACTAGAGTCTAGCCATACCAGCATAGCGAGGTGATATTGCGCCTGGCTCGCTGCACGCTTGGCGCGAGAAACAGAAAATTTCCTGATCCTGAAAAAAAAACATCAAAATTGCAAATCACTTTCGGTCTCACCAGTTATTGGCTCTACAGTTTTTTTTCTCTTTGATAAATCACTCCTTAAAATGAATAAAAAAAGATGTGCTCTACTCTAGCCACCGTGACGGTATTTTCTATATAGTGGTGCTATGGCTAGACTCTAATTAACCAGAAGATACACACTATGCCAAAGCCATAGACATATGAAAAGAAGGGAGACGGAACTGTTTATATTTTGTAACGATCCAACATCGTTTTCAGCAGAAAATTATGATGACAAATTACTGCGGAAAGTCCTAGATCTACCGCCTGTGTAAGAAAACGGGGAAAGCATAGTGGTGCCCGCGAGAGTCTCGTTTTCGAGAGTCTCGCATGGTCTCGTCTCGTTTTCGAGACAAGACTCGAGACGAGACTCGGACAAGACGAGACGAGACTTTTATTAGTCTCGTCTCGAGTCTCGTGCAAGACTTCTCGGATCTCGTGCAAGACTTCTCGGATCTCGTGCGAGAGTCTCGCAGGTAAATTTTTCTGCGTGCCGACTGCAGACTTGAGAATTTCATTCATAATACAACATATTTAGAAAGAATTCAGACTATTTAGCACAGATAGACAAACGCAAATTGAATGACTACCTGAAAATCTATGAATGAGTCATTCTGTGCTAAATAGTCTAAGATAAAGAATAACTTTGTTTTGACGGGAGTATGGATGCAGGGAATTGAAAAATATTATTATGTGGAAAATTCATGCTTCTGAATTTCCCATGTTCCCAAGTTTGATGGCACGAGATCTCTTAAGCATACCGGCTACTTCAGTTTTCTTATTATAGATGTTTGATGTAAGTATGTACTTACTTTTCAATAAATAATGTTATTTTTGTTTCAATTTTGTTTTCCTACTTCTACATTATACCTAGAAAGAAGGTAAAGGTAAATATCCCGTACTAGACTGGAACAAGAGTATGCATGACTTAATTGCGATACATCTGCGAGACTCTCGTACGAGACGCGAGACAAGACGAGACTGGAGGCTGCGAGACGAGACTCGAGACAAGACTTTATATTTCATCGGCGAGACGAGACGAGACTTTTGAAAGTCTCGTCTCGTTAGTCTCGTGTGAATCACTAGGAAAGCATTAATCATATACATCCATTATATAATATACATTTTTCATTTATACTTATTCTGTTCGTTTTGTTTCTTCATTAAAATATGTGAATTCTGCTATTGAAATGATTCAGAACTTTTCATGTTTCAATTGATTTTCAGTGTATCCTTGTTATGGAGGTATATAAAGACAATTATTGAGAGTCTCTTATGGTTCGGCAGTGCGTGGAATGTGGAACTTGCAACTTGAGCAAGGGTGTATTCATCGCAGGTTCTTTACCTACATCATTGCAATAAACATTGTTTTTCCTATGACGGGAAAAAAGTTTGGCATTTCATCTCTGTTGGCAGGTTATAATGTAGCATTTGAAATTGCTACAAAATAATTTTTAGTATCGTTTGCATGAAAATTCAAGCGAATTTGCTTTAGTGCAACATTTGGAGTTGCAAAGAATCATTTTCATTTTTTTGTTTCAAACATTACCATTTTGTAAATATTAACCTTTCAGATCTAGACAAGAAGTCATACTTACAGAAAACATTCAGTCTGATACTTGGTAAATAATCCTGAAGTACTTGAATGTAACTTTTAATGAACCACTTTATCACACAGTTTTGAATAACGGCATAGAAATAATAACAGTCATGATTAGTAATGTCTTCTGAATTTCTATGTGCCGATGGGAGGTGATGATATAAGCTGCAGGAGTCTTTGATTTCTGGCGTTCTGATCCTAGAGGCCTAGAATTCGAAGAAATAGTTCAATGTTGTTGTCCCTTCCGAGAGTAAACAAACGACTTACCATTGTTTTCGCAGGTGTGATAAAGCCCATGTCGCTGGTTTATTTCAGGGATTATTCAAGGTGATTTTTCGATCTGAAATGGTATTTTCGGTGTTGGAAGAATTATTTTCTTTATTTTCTGGAATTTATTTTAGGGTTATAATATTGTCATCTGAACGTCATTGTCCAGTATGTCACTCATCTTCTGTGAGTAGTACTTAAGCACAATCTTACAATATGTTGTGACATAGTACTACGGAAGAAAAAGAAGACTCTTCTTTTTCTTTTCTTTCTTCGGTTCTTCTTCTGTTAGTTTGGACCTAGTAATTCTGGTGTCTTTCTTCTGACCAATGAAATGATAGGATTTCATATTTGGCGCTGAATTTTGGCAGGAAGCACTCCTTTAGATAAGATAATTTTAGGAGGAGATTTCCGGTAGCTATCTCGAGGCTTTTTCTCGGCGACCGTCATGGTGTGCACTTGAGCCTGTTTGAGCATTTTTTCTTTTCTCGTTATAATCCGTAGGAACCCTTCGGGAGATTTGAAATTTTTTGAAATTGTTCAAAACATCAGTGATTCTGGCCATGGACATGTGTAGGATTTGTTCCCACTTTTCGGAGACTGCCTGATGTCTCCAGGAAGCCCTGCAGCCGGCCTTTTCAGCGTATGAAGATTCCAAACTAATAGTTCTTCAAGTCCTTCCTCCCTTCTCAGAAGGTAAGTCATATGCAGAGCAATGACTATCAACTTGGTGAGCAATATTCCCCTTTGATATCAGTTTTTTCTGTTCTCCACGTGTCTGTTAAGAGGTTATATCAACCTGTTAATTTTTTAACAGGGTGTTAGGGTATGGCTTAGCTATGCCTTCGGCTTCTAGTAGCGAACAGCTTGGGATAATCTCTCGACCTTGGTCATGATTCCCAAGAGGACCAGGACGCTCATTTTATCCTGACCAGAGTCGACAGGTGGCTCAGATCAAGCCCAGTAGTAACCGGTCAAGCTGACCAGCTGAGCCACACCACTGAGCCCTACTGTGGACTGTGGAGGTCCATCAACTTCTTTGTTCCTGTCTTCGTTCCTGTCTCCATCTTCATCTTCTCAAGCATGCCTACTCACCATAGTGGACCTTGGATAGGGGTGATCAGACCATTGGAGAGGACCCTCCAATAGACCAGGTTTTTTTATTCCATCATTTTTTTAAATCTGAATTTAATATTTCAACATTTTGATCATAACCATATTTAACATGTATGAAGCTCTCGTGAAGCTCTCCCATAGTACTTTGTGACAGCGGTTTCAGGTTTTTTACAGATTATTGTCTAATCAATTTTGTTGAGATTCATACATC